GATACATATTGAAACGAAATACCATCCATCCAATGGCACTACAATCCAAACCGGGCCTCCTCTAGGTGAGGTTTCGAAACAATGATTTTTCCGGAATTAGATTATTAGCCTAATGTGAGACTTCTAAACGTGGGAGCATATATTTACTATATATGGAACCTACAGTTTAAACGCCGGATCCAAACGGGGCTGGTGATCACAAGTATCTTAATCACCAAGTGATGCCATTTTCAACTCCTTAAATGCGAAAAATCACATATGTAGGCAACAGCCGGGATTGAACTCGGATCTACAGATCAGAATCAATCGCAGTCAATCGCACCAAGCAGCAAGCCACTCGATGCTTTCTAAAACAAAACACTTGCGCGTATATACGACGGATTTTGAAAAACTAGTTCTTTTAATCAATCTAGAATCAGGCTAGAAATTGAGATTAGATTGGAATTTAACCAATCGAAATTCATTACACTTAAAATTGATTTTCTTCTGATTTGTTAAATTTCAATTCAATCTGAATCTCTACTGGCCAAAGGTATTTTGTGATAGGAATGATGTTCTATGATGTTCTTTAAATTCATATAATATATATTATATTATAATATTATCTACAAGAGTTGTTACATTAATATGATACTATTGTAGGTATATATATTTTACAAGCACTTAGTGGCTGTCGATCTTCTTTTTTTCTTCAGGATAGGTTTCAAAGTACCACTTCACGTATTCATCTTTCATTTGTTCACGACGCGCAAAATATTTGGGATACATAGCTTTCTCTAGGGGATGCCAATAATCCAAGGTCCAGTCTGGAACATAACTCTCTCGATCATACGCCCCTCCTGTGATTGATTCGGCGAATGTTATTGGTTGATAATGTATCTTGGAGAAGTACTCCTTCTCTCCTTCCTCCAATAGATACTTTGCATATTTCAAATCGCGTGTATCCTTATTCTTGTCAAAACGCTCTCTCAATAACGCAATCTGGTATCTGTAAAGAAATTATAATTGAAATATAATTATGGTAGGTAAACGTCCCAGTAACCAAACATATATCTATACATACACATGCACACACATACAAAATTTAGTATCATTAATTTCAAATGTTTTTTATTCCAATATTATAATTTAATTGTATTATTAAATTATAATATTAATTTAAAAAAGCATTTGAGATTAATAATAATACAAACAAATAATTTTTGTAAATGTCTGAATATAAGTACAATCCAGTTATCCTCCCTTCTCTCTCTCTCTCTCTCTCTCTCTCTCTCTCTCTCTCTCTCTCTCTCTCTCTGAGTTTACCTTAATTAATTGTTATTAGTTTTATTCATTAAACGACTTTAAATTATTAAATTATTTTTTAGAAACTACGATCGTCCTTTGTAAATAGATTGAGATATTTTATTTTTGTGCTTTGTGCTATCTTTGTTTTTTTCTCTAATATTAGTTGTTCCATTTGAATCAATTCATTAATTTCTGCATCGATTCAAAGTTGTCAATGTGATTTGATCAAATTTTAATTAACTTCGGCCTGGATTCACCAATATGAAGTAAATCCAATGGATGCTATTTCAATAGTAAATAAAAATGAGATTAAAGTTAAATCTACATTGGTTTTTGGACATTAATTCGTCAAATAAGAAATAGGAATCTTGATCATAACAATCTAAAATGAATATTAATTGTTTTATATCTGTTCCACTAATGTAGTTAACTAATCTTGGTTTAACTTGCTCTTCATCTTTTTCTGGTTCTTGTAAAAATTAGAAAAAAATAAAAAGTAAGTTGAAATCAAAATTAATAGGCCGTTTTTTTTGTTTAGCTAAACTTCTTGCATGATTCATCTTTCCTCCTTTTTTTCTCCAACATGAAGAAAAATGGAAGGAAAAACAAGAAGTTCAAGCAATTCCTTTGTACTAATATAGATTAATTTTGATCTTTGTTTAATTTGCTTTTCATCTTTTTCCAATTCTTAGAACTAGAAAAAAATTGAAGAGTTAGTTGAAGTAAGATTAAAATTAAATTACAGATAGAAACCGATATAAAAGGACCAATCTACATTGAAGGAAACAGGCATTAATTTATTAAGTAATACCTATAGTATTTAGTCATTAACATAAATATTTAATTAATAATTAAACAATATTGAAATATCATAATAGACTGTGTTGTCAACATACAACATTTAAGAAATAAATAATTATATTAGTCCATTTATTTTGCTTTAAACAATTCCACTAGTTGAATTAAAAGATTTATTCTTTTTAATTGCAATGAGGTTACACCGATTGTTCGTTTCTTTTCTCTCCGAGGCACAAGTACATAGCTACCTTATTTTAAGTGTACAAATATGTAGTAACAATTTAGCTAAAAAGAACAGGCCAGAAATTAATCATGTCATCCTCGATAATGTACCTGCGTTCGTGTGTTGTATGAAACCAATCCTCAACACATCGTACAGCGCGTTTGTACAGCCTGCATACTTTCTGCTGATGCGATATAAGTTCTGAGGGAATATGTGCCATCGCTCACGTTTAAAAAAATGGCAGTTCTTTCCAAAAGTACTCTCGTACTCTCGTAATAAACTAGAAAACGTACATAAAAAAAATTATGAACTAATTAAGATATGAGATAAGGGTCTCGCTATCGTTTCGAGCTCTCTGAGTAGAGCAACCGACATCTTACAACAATGATAGAAATTAAGGAGGGATTACGGAGACCTCTAGTCGAAGACAAATTTATTTATGCTAAAATTACGGCTAAATACTGGATGAATCGCGATTTAATTGCGATATTCATAATCAGAAAAGGCTCCTGAAGGCTCGTACAAAACGATTTTTTTGGAGAAAAAGGCGAAATAAAAATTTATTCTGATGTGTACTATAGTGCAATTGAGTGCACATAATTTTATTTATTGTAATCTTGGGCCAGTACTTATATAGTCTATTCTTATGTTCAAGACCGTTTTAAGTACGGTCTTAAGAAGTCACAAACCTATCAAAGAACTGTATTAGCGTCTTAAGACATTACTTAAGACGGTCTTGAAATAAGAATCGACTATGAATACCGGCCTTAAAGAATCAATTTGCAAAACCGACTCTAACTCGCCTTCACAATTCAACTTCATAAAAAAAGAAACCAAAAAGGTTTTATGACGTAATATTACTTCTTAGAGATAAAATATCAGCATAAAAACATGTTTGCAAAAACATCTGCGTAAATAAAAAACATATCATTTAATGTATTAAAATATTTTTAAGAATAAAATTGCAAAATTTGGTTTTTTAATAGGCTTTGTAGTTTCATAAAATATAAGTCAAAAGTTTCATAACAAAATATTTTTTCTAAGGCCGGTATTCATATATAGTCAAATCTAGACATTAAGACTTAAGTACAGTCTTAAGTACAGTCTTAAGAAGTCACTAACCAATCAGACGGCCGTATTAGCGTCTTAAGACATTATTTAAGACAATATTGAAATAAGATCAAACTATGAATACTGCCCTAACAGACAATATATGTATATATGGTAGAGTCTGGGAATCAATTCTGTATCTTGAAACGAAGTGAAAATTACAAAAGTGAGCAAATTTACTAGAAAACTGATAATTTTATTGGTCAACACCTAGTAAATTTGCTGACTTTTGTAATTTTTATCTTGTTTGAAGATACAGAATCGATCCCCTGATAGAGAGTAAATACGTAGCTTCACAACAAATGAGGTATAAAGAAGTTGGCTTGTCACTTGTCGATCTTTGAAGATTAGGTTAAAATCTTAATATTTATTTCTATTCCTAATATTTCCTCTATTGTGCGCAGGGCCTATATCAGATAATCATAATCTCTCATATTTATATATTTTGTATCAAAAAGTAGTGCTGAAGATTATTGTGCAGAAGATTCAAACTTCTCTGCACAGTAATCTTCTGCGCAGATACTCGACGCTTGCATGTAATATCTTAAGACCAATATTATATGCGTCCGTTTTTGTCGTATGAATTTTTTCAAGTCTGTTGATTGACTATAGGACAAAAGGATCCTCTCTGTCTTGCAGCTAATTGACACTTGAAAAATTCATCGTACGACAAAAAACGGACGTATGTAATATTGGCCTAAAGCATGGTCTACAATGGGTGCATTCAGAAGCACGATCACTCAATGAGCTTTTTTACCTATTTGGTCTACATTTTTAGATCTAATGGAATATGCCAATCAAATGCAAGAGCTTACTGAGCGCTACCTATTGCGAAGAAATAGCGATAGAAATAACACGATTTCAACCTATCAGAAATCAGATACACTGGAATATACAGTTTCTAATAGATTGAAATCTTGTTATTTCTATCGCTATCGCTATTCCTTCACATTGGCTTATTTTCCATCGAGAGTTTAAACCGGATCAGAATGTAAGAACTAACCAACCACAATCGAGTATTCTCCTCTTACAGTCGAATGACAAGGGAATGCTCGACTGTAATTGTTTCTAAGGCTTTAGAGTGATTCGAGAAGAAGCGTTTTAAATGATATCTTTATCTTTTTCTAACTTATATTTTGCTATGATTGCGCATGTGCAGTAGACAATATTGCACATGCGCAATTATATAAGCATAGATTAGAAAAGTGCACTTTTTGCACTTAGCATCTTTGTTCTCCCTCCCTCTTGTCAACGCCTGAATATATATTTATTCCGTTTTAAATGCAAACATTTTTGAGAATTTCAATAACGCAAACCTTATATTTCAATGGTTTACTCTGCTGAACACAGTCATTTACAATCGATCTTCGAATGAGAAGAGGGGAGGTTGCCGGAAATGCAGGTTTCGCGACGGAAGTGCGCGTCGCCGAATGAACTCTATCGCGGCGTCGCTCTGGCGACCAGTCTCAGGTCTCGGAAGTCTGATCCAATCAACCGGCGACCGTTGACTGGTGGATTCTTATCGTTGCTGAGCGATTTTCGCTGATTTGTAAGGTACCATTATTCGTAACGATCCGTTGTATGATCCGTTGTTTTCACGTCTTGTTCACATCAAGTAATGATTCACGTGCGCAATCAGAATTGCATAATGACGCACGCACATCGAAACACTGCGCGCGGCGAAACATTTCGACGAATTTTCACGCACAATGTCGCTATGACGCTATAACTTTATCGTGTTGTTATCGGAGCGTGAGATTGTAGCTCGGGCGGGAATACGAAAGCCGTTACGAGATAAACATTAGAATATTGTAGTAAGACGTCTCTTTTTGCAGGTTAACGCATAATTTATAACCATGATGACTGTACCACCGGATACCTATCAGATATCACTGAATATTATAGAGGCGATCAAACAACACCCGGTGCTCTATTGTACCGAGGTGAAGGGTGTACCGGTGAAGCTGCAGGACTTCAAACAAAAAGTCTGGAAACACATCTCGGACGAGCTTGGACTAGATCGTACGTTTTTATATGTTATTTCTTTTTTATGTATTTTGTTAATGACTGTATCGTATATTATACAATGTTTATTTTGCAATGTTTATTTTCACTGAGATAGGATACTATTCCTTTGTATCTAAAAATATAATAGAACAAAGTAAACTTTCAATAATTGTAAAGCCTGATCTATGTAAGATGCAGAACATGGGTTGCAGGTCACAGAACTAAAAACTAGCCTATCGTATTTTAATTATAAGATGCAGAATGCAGGAAGTTGGATGAACTTCAGCTTTTGCATTATATGTTCTGTGTCCTATGTATTGCGGTTCGTAACTTATTACAATCTGAAATATACGTTGGGCTTAAAAGTAAATATTCTGTTCAACGCAGCCAATGACTATGTGCGGAGGAAAAAGCTGCTTTGCAACTGTTGTAAAATTTTTTAATGTGTTTGGTTGTATCTTTAATTCTTCATTAAAGCATAATTTATTAAATCTAAATCATATTATTTTTTCTGCTGAATGTAGTTATTGATCATATTCAGCAAAATGATTTAATTCAGAAGTGAATTGATCAATGAGTGTTCAGTGATTCTTTAATATGATTGATTCTTTACCTTTAATTCTTTGCTGGATCTAAGTGTAGGAATCAATCGTATTAAAGAATCACTAAGCGTTCGCTGAATATTTTTCTCTGTGGAATATAATCTTGTTTACTCCACAACTGTTGAAAGTTTTCTTCGCTGCAATAGATATATATATTTCTCTAGATCTAAAAGTATAATCCAATCAAGGTGAAAAAAATTTCCATCTATTGTAAAATAAATAATTTGCTAAATATGACCATTGGCTGCTGTCTGTTGTAGCTACTTGGGTTAGGCTAAGATGGAAGAACCTTAGAGATACTTACTGTCGTATCTTAAAGTGCAAGAGTAAGACAGAAGAGGGTATAAGAAGAAAAAAATGGATCTTCGAGGATTCTTTGAGCTTTGTAAAATATCCGTAAGAAATATCCATGATTATTTGATGATTTTGTTGGCGGTTTACTCAAGTCTGATTTTCTCAAGAATCAAGAATACTTTTACAGGTGTGAAGTGGATTATCAGCCACAGTGTGTAGAACTAACCAAGGAATACATACAACAGATAAACTCAAGTGATGTAAGTGCCGAAGGTTTACTGGAGCAATTAGAAGACCGAAATAATGAGGACTATACCGAATATCTGGAAGTTCTTGAAGAGACATCAGCTGACCCAGTTGTAATGGAAACTGAGACGATAGAAACGTTGGACAACATTAATGTAGAGATAGCTGCTCAAGAGGAAGTGGTGAATGAACAAGATATGGATATGGACAACTACATTCAGCAAATACAGTCAAAGTACCGAAAGATACGTCCAAAACGAATGAAGATCGAACATTCTTCCTCTTCGAAAACATCTAGCACTAATAAAATAAAAAAATCTTCCTTGAAGATAAATAAAAATAATGTGAATGCAAATGATACCAATACAGTGGTTAATCCAGTTGCTAATACAGTGGCTGTTCTTGAAAAAAATTTACCACCTAGTACATCAATTACGCTTGTGAAAGAATCAAACAATATGAAGAACAATGACACTAACAAACAAATTCACTTAGCATCCGAGAGTAAGAGTATAGAATTATTTTTCGACAGCATGGCACAGGCAGTGAAAAAACTACCACCTAAAGCACAAGCGGATATCAAGATGCATATCTGCAAACTCGTTACGGAAGCAGAGGTGCAGTACTCTGGTCTCAGTACAACACAGAGCACGCAACAATTCATAGCACCACCCGGCATGATACCTAAGCTAATATTAATACCTTGTAATATGTTAGATAATCAAAATGGTAAAAATTGATCCATTTATATTGTGTATATGCTGAATAATGTTATCAGATTTGCTATAAAATTAAAAATACAATTATATTTTATTTTAACAATTTACATTTGCTATGTACCTCGTTTCTAATATAAAATTAAAAAGAAAAAAAATATATATGTAAAATATTGCAGTCATGTCAGCTATGTTACATAGCTTTTTTATAGAATTAATATCAATAAAAGAATTATATTTTGAATCATTTTAAATTCATTAATTTATTTCCTTTAACAGAAATTAATTTATGTGAAAAGTACGAATGGTTTATTATATGAAGAATATAAAAGTACGTAAAGTACAATGCATGAATCGCTAAATATTTGCAAATATCTGTTTCTAAATAATATTAAGAATTATTTCTTGTATTATAAATATTTTATAATGGGAATATTTACATTGGTGAAAAATGTAAAAAAGTCCAGAGCCTACATCAGCTATTCGGATGCACAAAAATTCTTTATCCGAGAGAGAATAGCTGATGTAGGCTTTGATGAGCTTTTTTAAATTTTTCACTGATTGATTCTTTCGAGCCTTATTTACATATATTTGTTTAATATGTATATTCTATTCCAAATCATTGAAGAACAACTATAATATATTATCTAAACTTACTTTAAAAAGCATATAATTAAATAACAAAAATACAAGAACTCTTCTAATAAAATAAATAACAATAAATGAAGGGCAAAGCAAGAGTCAGCGCATTTCTTTAAAAAGTCATATAATTAAAGGCATAAATTAAAAGTACAGAAAAGATAAAAAAAAGAAGAAAAAATGTATACTAAGAAATAATAACGGTGAAAAAATAAACATATAACATTACAAGAGCGCGAACATTAGTCGACACACAATGTCTGTTTTTACGCCTGCATTCCACTCTTCTTTATTCTATTTTATTGTTATTTGTTATACTTATATGGATACATTAGTTTTGATCTTTTACATGTTTGTTGGTGAGTGTTTATTTTTTATCATAATTACGGTTGTTAATTTATTTAAGTTTACTTTTTTCATAAGAGGTCTTTTTCTTTTTTTCTTTTTTATCAACTAGAACTTTCCTAAGAGACATGATACATTTTTGACTATTCAATCGTGCGAATAATGTCAAGTTCTACATCGAGACTCAACCGAACTGCGTGTATTCTTAATTTGTGAACATTTGCGATAATTATTTTTTAATTTTGTTTCCATTATATTTTAACGTCTGAAGAGGGCTCAATCCGGTAGCCGAAACTTGTAATGTTATATGTTTATTTTTTTCACCGTTATTTCTTATACATTTTTTCTTCCTTTTTTTTTTATCTTTTCTGTATTTTTAATTTATGCCTTTAATTATATGACTTTTTAAAGAAATGCGCTGACTCTTACTTCGCCCTTCATTTATTGTTATTTAGCATATAATTAATTATTCTGTTGACAAAAGGCGGAGAAATAATGTTAAAAAATTGCTATAAAAATTGGATAGTCTGTTGTGTTTAACAAAAACACTCGTTAATTATCCTTCAAGTATTTTTTTTCTATTTTTCTTCTTCAGATTGTCAAAATTATTCATCTTTTATTTTAACTTTTAATTATTTGAAGATTGCAATCAGACAAGGAAAATTGTTAAAACTCGGTTATACAATATAAATACGTTCTCAAGAAAGATAACGTTGCAGAATAATTGTTATGATGTATCGACGAAGATATATTCGATAAATATAGACTCTTTATCGCGTAGAAACTGAAAAAATGCAGTTAGATAATTATGAAAAAAATAATAAATTTTTATCTATTGTAGATTAAGAACAGATGAAGCATGACAACATACAAAAGAATACAATACTTCACTAAGTATTATTGCGTCCATTATCAGCAATTAAAATTATAAAAATAGTTCATTATCGAATAGTTTAATATATAAAAGTCTGCATAAAAAATATAAATCAGTTGCGTATTTAAACAATTTAACATTTTTCATAATAGTAAATCAAAAGTGAGAGAGGAAAGACGGAATCCGCTTTAATTGCCTACAAAAAATATTACGAAAGTAGATACGTACTATTCCCAAATACTACATAAATATGTAAATTGAATAATTATAAATCGAAGCAATAGTGAAAGTCTATCTCTTTAAAACACAAGTTTTCTACTAATATGGCATACTAATTTCTCGAAAATAAATGACAGAAAAAAAAAATAGTTTACCTTCTATCAATTGAAACACGTGCCTAAAATACACGTGCGCATGTCGTTTTTAATTAGCGAGAAAAACTGGAATTTCTGTTTCGTCTATAATCTGCAGTTTCTTCAGTAGTATTTAGTAGAAAAAAATATCGAACGTGAGTCGACAATTTCGTGTTGACAAACGGCTGATAACTGTTTGTTTCATTTAATACTGACTCGGTACTAACCCTACTGACTGATAAACAGTTGTAAATGTTTCTTGAAGGAAGGATGAACTAAGGAGTGTCTCTTCGTCGGATCAGTTAAGATACGGCTGACGAGGATGTTGCGACACTTGACACGTGTGCAGAAGCACACAGACCTGCTGAAACAGTACTCGTCGGTTCAGTTTGCGAACTCCTTCAGGAGAGAGGTGAGTTACGAGCGTATTGATCGGGAACGATTGGAGGTTAGGGATCTGACGGACGACATTTCGATCGAATGAAATTTAATATTGAATGTAATAGACGACTCTTAGTAATTTCGTCGAATTTTCGTCTTCTTTTGAAGCGACGCGACGTCTCTCATCGCGATGTCAAGTGTAATTTGTGCGTAATCGCGAATCTATATTTGACTGAATATAACTAGAAATTTAGTTTATGTTTGTTACAAATTTTGATGAAGACGCTTTTAGTGCGAGAAGCAGAAAATTATGGCTGGAATGACGAAAATCGTCGCTCGGCATTGCGAACGAAGCGTTGAAAACAAAAGGTTTTTTGAGATTAGGAAATTTGCCTTACCGATGGAGCGCAATCGACGACACGTGACAGAACAACGCGCGAAATTTGAATGTAATTGGAAGAATAATTTTAATCAATTCTTATATTTAAGACCGTCTTAAGTACGGTATTAAGATGTCATAAACAAATCACAAAGGCATTATTAGCGTTTTAAGATATTACTTAAGATGGTCTTGAAATAAAAACTGACTGTGAAAATCAGCTATACTTGTATTTTTATACTGTAAAGTAATTAAATGATTGTAAATATTTTATAAACAGTAAAGCGGTGAATCTTTGTTTTGTGCTTCATAAAAATCAGAAGTGAAAATTTTAAAACACGTAAATATCTAAAATATTTTATGAAGAAAGGTAAAAATCTTACATTAAAAATTTATCATTTTTATTTGTCTTTTGCGTAGACAGGAATGAATATTTTTGTCAAAGACTGATATGAATAAATTGAACTGGACATAACGTCATATTAAATTTACAGAGTTCAGAGAGTAAAGGCAATGATGACATAAAAAGGTTCAAAGAATTTGTCGACACTGTCACCCCACAGGAAAGATTCCTGAAAAATATAAAGCAAGATTGGAAGTTGTTGAAACGTGTACTATCTGACAGACAATACTCTGACTTCGAAAAATTTTGGGAGAGACCTCAAATAATTCCTTCTACTTGTGACGTGCTTATCATTGGTGGTGGAGCAATTGGTAGCTCGATAGCATATTGGTTAAAGCAGAAAGTCCATAGAGAAGAATTCAGTGTTGTCGTAGTTGAGAAAGATCCTTCAGTAAGATTTTGATGTATTTTCTAATACATTTTGAAGATCTTTTTTGGATTAATAATTTATTAAGTTTGATAATTAATTAAATGCATAATTAATTAAGTATTATTTCAGTATACTAAGGCTTCCACGACTCTTTCGGTGGGTGGTCTACGTCAACAATTTTCTCTTGAAGAAAATATCCACATGTCACTATATGGCGCGGAATTTTTGCGAAATATTAATGAGCATTTGAGTATCCCCGGAGAATCGCCCATCGATGTGAATTTTCATCCTTATGGCTACTTGATATTGGCAACTGAGGCAGGCGCTGAGACTTTAGTACAGAACTCTAAGCTGCAGAATTCTTTAGGAGCAAAAAATGTCGTTCTTACTAAAGAGAAGCTAAAGCATATGTTCCCTTGGATAAATACTGACGGGATTGCGGCAGGTTGTCTTGGGTTGGAAAAAGAGGGATGGTTCGATCCATGGTCTTTGTTATGTGCCTTCAAGAAAAAAGCTAATTATTTGGGTGCTCAATATGTTAATGCTGAAGTCAAAGCTTTTCAATATAGGGAGTTTCCAGGAGATTATGATGAGAATATGAATTGTTCGAAAAGGTTAAACAACGTAGTTGTAAGTATGCATTATATATATACATTCCTTCTATTTTATTTATTTATATATAAATATAAAATATTTGTTGTTCAGTTATAAAAGATTTTTAGATACAAACTGCGTGGAGTCGATCATTTGATCTACTCAATAAATACATTGATTATATGGATTAATCAATTCCACGCGATCTAGCTAGTTACGAATGTAGAATAATATCTAATAGATAAACATGTTTTGTGTCAGATAAAAACAAACGACGGTGAGACTAGGACAATAAAATTTGCTATAGCTATTATTGCTGCGGGCGCTTTTAGTGGCGATGTAGCCGAGTTGGCTGATATCGGAACAGGCGAAAACCTATTATCTGTACCTTTACCAGTTATACCCAGGTAATTTAATGATGATAAAGACTTGAATTTTACTACTTTTTGTTTCTTTATCTTTATTATTATTAAATGATTTTCGTTTGCAGAAAGAGATATGTATATTGTTTCCATTGTCCTAATGGACCTAGCTTAAATACACCTTTAACGATTGATCCCAGTGGTACATATTTTAGGTACGAGTTCAATTTAAGTACAACATATACTCTTCTACTACAAATTAAATAATTAATAACGATAAATAAATAAAATGATTTGTGAAATGTAAATAAAATTATTTCCAGACGCGATGGTTTAGGAGGTAATTTTATCGGCGGAAAATCACCAGAACCAGACGAGGAGCCATCAGTTGAGAACTTGGATGTCGATCACGAATTTTTTAACAATAAAGTGTGGCCTTCACTCGCTCACAGAGTACCGGCATTTGAAAACTTAAAAGTACGTTTATTTTTCATTATCTAATAACATGCAATTAACATATACATAATTAAACATAAGGATATTTACGAGTGTAACAAATATAGAACTACTAAGTGTATTAATGTGTTAAAGTTACATATTAAACACATGAATACCATATTCAATCAAAGTTGTCTTTCGTGCCAAAAAAGATTAGTAATATTTTTTGTGAATTTATTGAGCGTTGGTTTAGGACTATATTTCAAGAACGATAAATAATCGGTGCACAATTTACTTAAGCTCTAGAAGTTGTTCAAATTCAATAAAAATATTAGGCGGAGTACCACCTTGATCGAATGACATTTCATGTGTATTTAATTTCATCGATCGATTTTCAATTAATGAAGTCTTATATATATATAAACTTTTTTCTCCTAATGATGTATATTTTATTTTTATAAATCAGGTGAAATCTTCGTGGGCTGGATATTATGAGTACAATACTTTCGACGAAAATGGTATTATTGGCCAGCATCCTTACCATCTCAATGTATTTTTAGCAACTGGTTTTAGCGGACATGGTATCCAGAAAGCGCCCGCGGTGGGGCGTGCAATATCAGAGTTGATTCTTCACAATCGTTTTGTAACTATAGATTTGTCCAAATTAAGTTTCGATAGGTTCTTAACATCAGAACCCATGAGAGAGGCTAACGTTTTTTAGGTAACAAAAAATAATGGTTTTTATTTGATTATATTATATATAAATATATAATAAATTTGTAAATATAATTATTACAAAATTTAAAAATTATTTAGATACCTTTTTATCGAAAGATCTAAATGTAGTAGTTTCATTGAAATACAATTTTTATAGTAATAACACAATGTATTTTACAATAGTAATAAATTGTACATATAAAATTAATACAATTTCACGTTTCATGTTTCATAGATAAAATTTGATTCATGTATGCTGCAGCTTCTTCTTCACCTACATTTTGTAATATATTTCTCAAATCACTGAGAGATGTGTTAGTTTGTATCTATAAAGAAATAAAAATTACATAAGTATTCAATCGTTTATCTTAATGAAAATGTATATTCGAAAGATTGCAAAATAACGCGTAAAATATTTGACGAGAAAATGAGAATCTTACAGCGATATAATTTAAGAGGAGTAACGACGAACTGGATGTCTGTTTAAAGATATTCATTAAGTACTTGTAGTCGAAATAATGTGCCAATTTTTTCCATCCTTTTGTCTCGTCTAAAATGTTTGCCAATTGCTTTTCTTGATCTACATCCATCCAAACTTTTTGTGTATCGTTTATATTTTCTTCTTTTATCGTGTTTATTAACATATCATTTTGACCATAGACGAGTTGTAAGATCTGTAACAATTTTTTTAATGACGATTGTATGTATATTTTTTATAACGATACCAATAAGACAACATGAAATGTTTTCCATACGTCTGGTTTATTTGATGCTAAGTCAAAAGATGATTGCCCATTGTCCCATTCTTCCATATTTTCGTCTTCTGAATGCACTTCAATTTTTATATCTTGTATCTGTTCTCCGTCAACCTATTATTAAGACAATCAAATTTAATAAAAACAAAATGTTAAGATATTGATAAGTTGTACATACGTTATTTGATTCACGATTATAATTCCTTATGTGCGGATCAGCACTGTATTTCATTAGAAGAGCACATATCTCTTTGGCTTTTATTCCTGGTGTAACTATTGCGGTGTGCAGTGCTGTATTTCCACTAAAGTTCTTCTTGTTTACATCTATTTTGGTCTGCTCGGACAATTAAGAATATTAGTAACATGATTTTTTATATAAAAATATTTTCAACAAATATTCAATCCTACATTTTTTAACAGAAATTCAACAATGTCTTTGTGACCTCCTTCGACTGCTATATGTAAGGCAGTTCTTCCATAGGTCATGTCAGTGTTATTTACGTCTGCGCCAGCTTTAATAAGAGAACATACTGCATGATACGAGCCAGCTTGGGCAGCTAATTGCAAAGGTGACCATCCACAATCTGTATTTGCTTCGATGTTGATGTCTTTTTCAGCTAATAAAACATCAATGCTTCCTTCTGCTTCAGGAACTAAAATTATATAAATTCATATATAGGATAAAATTATTATTATTATCATTATTTAATATTTGCTGGGATATATTCGCAACTACGAATTACATTTGATCTCTGAATCAAAATATTGTACAAAGGATCAATTTATCAATTTTTTTTAAAGTGTTCATTTTAAGTACTTTTAAATTAATAGGTACATTTTACAGCTCTATGTAATGGCATTTGTCCATAATGATCTGTTATATTAGGATCTGCTCCAAGCACGAGCAATGCTCGTATAATTTCTGGTTGATCTTGCGAAGCAGCATAATGCAACGGAGTCTAGAATATAATTACGATACCATTAAAATTTTTTGTAATTAAATAAAATATACTAGCATTTTTTAAAAAGCTTACCTTTCCAGAACTATTTCGAATGTTCACCAATTCTTCAGCATCTGTATTTAGAGTGCTCATGAGCATTAAGATACGTTTTACATTGTTCCTTTGTCCATATCGGAGCGCACAGTGCAATGGCGTATCTCCGTAAGTTGTTCTGTCTTTGAACGATATTTTAATAATATCTTTTGCTTCATGCGGCTTGATTTTCATGTTCTTTATTGAATCGATAATAACATCTTTCGCGAATAATGTTTCCTCCTGTAGAAATATAAAATTCAGACTTGATAACATATAACATTGATGCAAAAAGAAATTTCGATAATGAATGTGTTTTGTAAATAGCATATATTGAAGTTAATACTAGCCTTTTTACTCGGCGCACCATCATAAGTTAACTTATCTTCGCCGCCTTGGTTTAACAATTTCTCATATACTAGAAGATATAATTCGTATTACACAACGTAAACATAACGTTTTTATATATGTAACTTTTGAATGTTTTTATTCACATAAAAACAAATACTTACAGTCTAAATTTATGTGATCGACAAAATCACGAAACTCACTAGAAGAACATCTATCGTCTAACATCTTTTTTATTTCTTTAGATATTTCGGTACTGTCATTGCTTGAAGGAGTTGTTAATGGTGTATTTATTGAAAGCATATCATTATTAAATGTTAATGCTTGCACCAATTCCGCACTATTTGAATGAGAGACTCGCGTTCTTTTCCTACCTGTAATTATAAAATTGGAATTATATTTAAAAAAAAATGAGAAAGATAAATGAAAAAAGAAAACTAAAAAATATAACAGATCATAACTAAGAATATTTAACATTGTTATTAACTTACCTATCATACGATCAGTTGGTTTATATGTGAACTTAATTGGTTCTGAACAATATGAATCTGAAGGACGTTCTAATTGTATGAAAACTTCTTTTGGAGAAGTGATATTTCGATCTCTGTATGGTGGAGTTCTGGAAATATAGCACAATTAATCATATGCGTTGTGAAAGAAAAAAATATTTAAATGCGCTAATCATATGTACATACCGAAATACCACAGCATATTGATGATGGACATCTAATTCCGAAAAACAACCATAAGCTATCCAGATTTCAGTGTCATCATCGTCGAGTTCAAAGAACTTTATCTTTATGTTTTCTATAATATAATGCGTTTTTTAATATCAATATATATATTGGTGTTTATAGGCAAGCATATTTAGCTGAAATGCTAAAAATTGATACTTACTTTTTGAAACTTTTTCCACAAGCATAAATACCTCTTCGCCACCTTCACAGCTGCTAGTGAATTTGTCAATTCTGCATATCTTAAGTTCTCCAGTTAGTGCACTTTCTATTAAAATTAATGATTTCTTTATACATTATTTCCATTATTCATAGTTATTTCCAGTGTTCATTTATACACAATAACAACATAAAAAAAGGTTTAAATCATTAAAATTTTATTATATTAATTTAAAAATACAATTTTAATGTAATAACTGATTACAAGAGGAATAAGAATGTTCTTTCTCGGTTCTGACTTTTTTTGTAAGCAACTAAAACAAATGATAATTTTTTGTTTGTATCGTTGTAGTACAAATGAGCGATATGTAGTATATATAATATAGGGTGTCTCAAAATTCGCAAATTTTGGGAACCTGTGTATGTATATAAAATATAAAAATTGAGAGAGAATTTCTTGATAAATCTTTCTTCAAAATAAATTGTTATTGCAATAAATTATTTAAACTTACTCAAATTATTGATTGGGTTGCTATAAACCGGTGCTGTAATTGGTCTCATAATATTATGTTGATCTTTGATAAATGCTTGAAAACAAAGACAAACACTATTTAGATTTATAGTTTTTTGATATTGCGCGACGTCAGATTTAATCTGTAATCATTGTAAATTGCTATTTAAAAACATTTAATTTATTTGTTAAGGTAAAAATATTAATCCAATGTGTAAAATGATTTTCAAACTGATAAATGGCATTAAGATTTACCTGCGCATCATCACGAAGATTGAGAGTAGCGTTTATATTTGAACGTTTCCGTTCTTCTAGAATTTCTTCGCGCAACTTTCGTACTATTTCGTCCTTAATATGTCTTCTCGCTGTATGTATTATGCCCATACCAACAAATCTGTAACACAAGCATAATGCTGATTAAAGAATGAAACAAGATAACTACGTTTAACATTATGCTAGAAGATATAAACATACTCAGCTGTAAAATCATTTGGAGATGAAACTTCCATATAATGTGGTTCCCCTATATCTGCACTATTTATTCGTCTCACTAATCTATGAGCATGCGGTATTCTTAGGTCTTCGTCAATTGTAACTAATGTGCAACGTATGATCGCATTATCCGAATAATTATGTAACTGAAAATATGAGTAATAATAACATCATTAGATATAAAGAAACTAGTTTAAACAATTCCATATTAATATTTTGATAAGTCTGTTTATATAGAATTCAGCATAATTACTTTGACCGTAGGTACGTTATTTTTATTTCGTTTACGTCCAGTATATACCCCAAGCAAGCTTCCATGAGTTCCCACCATTTCAGATTTGTATCGAAATCTAAATTTCTCCACGGGCTGCACCATGATACTGAGATATGGTTCACCAAGTATCGTTACTACCAAGTTATAAAAAAAAATTTGATATGTATTTTTCAAATAAAACAACTGTCACTAACATTAGAAAAGAGTTTAATATTAAATTATATAATAATATTAAATATTCATTATTCAGCTGGTATTAGTAAGTTACGTTTCAGACAATTTAAAATTAGAATGCATACCTGCATTTGTTAGATTAATATAATCATCAGTGACATGCATAGGCGACGAGGACGTCGACATAGGCGATGTCATGCTGATGTTTCCTTGAGATCCAGAACTACTGAATGGACTTAGAACACTTGTACTATCCATTGATGTTAAATCTGGAAGATGCAAAATACATGTATATAAAATCTTTTAATTAATTTATTTGTGTGTACACAAAATAAATACGTTTATATTAATTAGCAATAATGGTTCCATTCACAACTCATTTTAATAACTATACATAATACAAAGCACAAATACAAGTCACATCCAAAAAGTACAGTGAATGCAAAAGTATTCGTACAAGGGACATAAAAAATTATTTTTAAAAAGGAAACATTAATTGATAAGAAAGATAGAAAGTCAATGT